TAATAAAGTCTGTCTATCTATCTATCTATCTATCTATCTATCTATCTATCTATCTATCTATCTATCTATCTATAGTTTATTCAGCACTGTAGGTTCCCAGTTTACCTCTAATAAAAGTTTTTAAAGAAAGTGGCAACTCTACTGCTGGGGAAGTTTGTTTTTCATGCTCCATAAAAGCGAAAACAAGCCCATTCATCAATTGTTTCATTAAGATATTATAGGTACACCTTCTGCCTCATCATATTGGTCCAGTTTTATTGGAAATAAATAGGTTATTATTAAGCTTTTTTCCAATCAACAACATCCAACCGAAGACAAGCTAATTTCTATATATATCTACAATCAATTTACTTGTCTTTAATGGATTGTTGTTGTGTAATTAATTTACTTATGACCACATTTCATATTTATTAATCAAAATTATTGATTATCTGTCACCTAATATATTTTATTTATAGTTGAATGTGCTCACAGGAGACACTTGTAAGCTTAACAAGGTTTTTATTTATCATATTGATCCCCTGTGGTGTATTTATAAACTGTATACACAAGGTTTATTGTTTGTTACTTGCTATATTTGTTTTAATAAAGTTTATCGAGGGAGAAGAAAAGAAGAAATGATTCATTTTTTCCCTCCCAATGCAACTAATAAATTAGTTTATTTATAGATTCTGTAAGACTAAAACTGAAAAACAGGCTTGTTGTGCTGTGCTGTTATTAATTAAATGTTTTAATATTATTTAGTATTTAGGTCTACTTTTGTATATATGTTTGGATGCACAATAATGAATCAGCACATTTGTGATTACATTTAAAAAGAAACACACAAATATAAACAAATTAGAAGAGTATCAAAGCATTTATTAGCTAGGAGGACATAGTCCCCACTGCGTGCAGCTGTATTATACTCAACAGCTTAAACATCTGTGTGCAGTCTTTACAGTCAGTTTAAAGCCTTGATATACAAAATATGTACACATACTGACATGTAAATGAAGCAGTGCAAATTGAATGTAAAGTGTACATGATATATACTTTACAGGCACAGTGGTTCTGTCCAGTGTGTGAGCATCATTAGCACAGATAAACTCGGACATAACAAACAGTTACAGTTCACACGAGTGTACAGAGATCATAATCCGGTAAACTACAGGCTGTTTGTTCATTAGGCAAGTTAGCTGATTGTCACATTTTAGATAACATGTCTCTCTGAGGCCCCGCTCAGTCCTTCCTTGGATCATTTTACTGCAAAGTGTGAGCAGGCTTTTACAACCACTTCATATTCTACTGGCATTATTATGCTGGACGTGTCTTATCTAACGTTCAGATAAGACTGAGAACCTGAGGAATGAGTTGTGCAGTATCTTATTCCACACTTATATCTGTCTGTGTGTGTGTGTGTGTGTGTGTGTGTGTGTCCCTGTCACTTATACAGGCTGAGCTCAGGGCTGTGGTAGAGACACATGTAGGAGTCACAGAGCAGGCGGCGAGCGTGCTCCCGTAAGGACGTGGGGTCAACTCTGCTCAGGTCCTCCTCTGACAGGCTGAGGTAGCGGCCCACCTCTGGACACGCCTTCACCTGGGGGATGTTGAAGCCGTTCTCGCCGCCTGGGTGAGAGCGCAGACAAGATATAGGGAGCTTTAATAACACTGCGTGTGCTTTTTTTAATCCTCTAATCCTTGTTACCAGAATTTGTTGTCACCTTCCCGGTCTGCCATGCTGTCAAAAAACAGCCAGTCGGTGGGGAGGGGCCCGTGCTTGACGAAGCTCACGTAATGGCTGGTCTCGATGCACGTCACGGCGAAGAGAGACATCCGCTGGCGCGTGCAGTGCAGAGGGCCGGTCCACGGTCCCCCGGGGACGGCGACCTTCACCGGGCTGTGGGATTCCCGCTTCCTGTGGCTGTGGACCTGATGATCAACAGAAACGGTGAGCCGAGTCAATATGTAACGCAGATGTGGACGTAAAGTTGCAGACCAGAAAGATGGGACAACTCTCTGCAGAACTCTTAACTTTGAACACAAGGGCTTAGTGTATTTAGTCCGTCAAGGCTAGAGATCTGGATCAGGTCCAAAGTAAGAAGATGCTACCTGTGTGTTGCAGGTCTGGCAGTACTGTTTGAGACGCCCGGGAGTGATGTCTAGGTCTTCATAACACTGGAGACACTCCCACTCAGCTACAGCCTGACAGATGCTGCACTGTCTCAGAGCTGGAAAGACAAAAAGACAAAAAATGATGTGTAGATTTTATGTGTGCTTCAGGAAATTTGAGGTAAACAAAAACACACACGCGATAAAAACTAAATCAGACCTGGATTCAACTAAACCTCGACACCAACAGACAAACTGAAACATAGATTTTTTTTTCCAGAAAGTTGTCCTTACTGTCGTCCAGCAGGTCTGTGATGTCCAGGCTGAGGGTGGGCAAGATGGCGTCAAACATTTTGAAGTCCTTTCCAAACCGAGGCATGAGCAGCAAGAGGCAGGAGGGAGCCTGGTGGGG